GTTGTGTTGAATTTGTAATCGAAATGCCTGAGTGTAGTAAGGGTTTTTAATGTTTTTTTCAAAAGTGGTTGTTCATTTGGAATTATGGAACGCTATTGTGTCGTTCTGTATGGGTGTTGTTGATTTCTTTTTTGCTGAAGGAGATCTGTGACCTATATGTTGATGTTTGTGACTACCTAGATTTTCACCTGTGACCAAAATGATGAGTTTTATTGTGATCGTTGTTGTAGGCCTGGAGATACATTATACCCGAGAAGAGTTGGTTTCCGGGTAAAATTACAATTACCCCCGTCAAAGGTGTGGTGTCGAACTTCAAAAACAATCTCAATGAAGCCCAACGTCGAATCCTTCAGAATACATGTTTCGCTCACTTCCTGCAATGCGAGGAAATTGTTATCCAATCACAGCTGATACACTATTTTCTTCTGAGACAAGTGCAACAACCTAATGAGAGTGAGTTGTGGTTCAACATAGCTGGAAGATTCGTGCAGTTCTCAATTTCAGAATTTTGTTTGGTGACTGGTTTGAGATATGTCGGCGATGATGACACAAGTAGGATGGAGAAGACTCCATCACGATTGAAAAATTTGTATTTTTCAAGGTTGAAAAATGTTACTCATGAAAATATCAAGGACGCATTTTTTGGTTTTACTCACATTCCGAATGAGGATGTTGCCATGCTAGGTGCATTGTATTTCATAACATCTTATCTACATCCGAGAGACTACAAGAAGGCTGTGGAGCACTTCTTATTTATACTAGTTGAAGATTTTAGTGCGATGAATGTGTTTCCATGGGGTAAGTCGCTGTTTGACAAACTAGTAAATTCATTGAGGGAGGGGTTGAGTAAGAGATCAACACATTACAGACTCAGAGGCTTGCTTGTAGCCTTTCAAGTGTGGATTTACGAGACAATACCCAGTCTCGATGGATACACTGCGAGAAGGATTTCCAGAGTGTACCCCAGGATAATGAACTGGACGGCTGGTGATCACCCTTCGGCTGCGAAGCTTGAGGGACCTGAATGCTTCTCCAATCCCGACGTAAGTGACCACCGATGCAGCAGTTCTGGTTTCAAAATATTAAACTGGCACATTTTTCTCATGTTCCAGATTATATTTCTTAGGTCACAAATATATTTTCGTCAAGTCACAAATTGCATTCTCGAAGTCACAGATTTACTCATTATGTTACAGATCATTTCATACTAGGTCACAGACATTTTCACGGCGCCATTTGCCCTTGTTATATCACAATTAATGCAAACAAATTGAATATGTGTGATGTGCAAAGCTATATCTCTTTGTTCATACATAATTTTTGGTTGTTGACATTGCACATTTTGTTGTGATATGAATGGCAGTTGGAAATATGTGACCTGGACCCCCCACCAGCTGAATTGGCAATGCCATACATGAGTCAGGTACAGTATGAGAAACCTATCCTACCCAATTGGTCACATGGGGAGAAGAGAAAGGGTGGTAGCATACACCGATCAGATCATCGTGCTGGGACTAGTACAAAACCAAGTAATCCAGGAATGAAACAATCTACTCCCATGCTTTTGATAACCGATGGACGATTGGGACACTCTGATCTCCCCATTGATGATGATGACTTTGTTGACGCACCACCTAGTTGGAAGGGGACATCAATCCATGAAGATTCTCCAACTGGGGAGTTTAAGTCAGATGACACCACTGATTCAGAGGATATGCCGTCAAAAGATGTAAGCTCTTCCAATTTCATCTATCATGTCACAAGTCCATTTGGTCACATAAAAATTCAGGTCACATATTCAGGTCACAGGTTTCGGTGATTGGGTCACATACCAATACACATGTCACTGCTGATCACAGATCAATGTCATATTTCATCATCATAATTTTACTGATTATAGGTATTCATGTGATACAGGTGGTCGACGAATTGAAGAATTATTTCAAAGGGCAGATATCTGATCTAAAGTCTGAGAATCGGTTGCTAAGCAAATAGCTCAAGTCAATGCAGTCACAGGTGTCTTCTTTAAAGTCTGATCAGCAAAGGAAACTGAATCTGCTAGTTCGTATGCAAGGTGAAATTCGTACTGACATGTTGGACATCAAAGCACACATGCAGTGTATGTCTGATTCTGTGACTACATTGATATCTACTTCAATGGAAGAAATTATGAAAAAATTCAGAGAGAACGCAGGACCAGAAATTGTTGTAGGATCTGGACCAACATGCGAAGTCAGTACCCCAACTGTGACTGCCTCTTACTTGTCTGTTTACCCCAAACCATTTGATATACACTTCTCATCAAATGCATTTTTGTTCTAATTTTCAGGTTGCAAAAGTCGAACGAAGTGTTGATTCGAAAGGCAAGGCGAAGGTTGACTCTGTGTGTGCAGTTGAATTTCCATGTTCTATTGAACCTCCATCTTTTGATCTCGATCTTGGATTCACACAACCAAGCTAGATTGTTGCAAAAACATCAAAGGAAGTTGAAGTGCAAGTGGAATTGGTCATAGCCGATGTTTTGAAGGACACGGAATGTTTTCAGCAAGAGGTATCAAAACATCAAAGTATTTTTGTTGATTAATGCATGTCACATATTAAAGAACACATTTTATAACGCAGCACTCACCTGAGGCTGCACCAAGTTCTGGATTGCCGGTGAAGAGGGCTCCAAAGCCAGCTCTCCCTTCAGTCCCCTTATGTTGCCGACAAAATGAAACAAATGAAATCTTCAGGAAATGTAGTGGTCTTTGAACACTACAATCAGAATGTACAAGATGCAGATGTTGCTGACTTTCAAAATTGGTTTCAAAGAGGATACAAACCGCATAACAAGTACGAAATTGTTGTCCTATTTTCATAATGTTCCAAATAATGATCCGTTCTTCTCGTTTGCAGGAAGAAGTGCAATGATAAAGACGATGTCATCCGTCCACCTTTTTCCATCGGTCAGTACTTGGTGGGAAACAAGACATGGTGGTACAAACTTGTATCCAGGGAGGTGTCGTTGACTAGTTTGGTAAGTCACTACACAAAAGTAAAAGTTCTAAAGGGTATGTTACAGTACAGGTCACATTAGTCACAGTTTTTTGTATACTAGTCACACAGAGCATGGGTCACAGATCACACGAGCAGTAGGTCACAGATGATGCGTAGGTCACAGATCACGCGAACAGTAGGTCACAGCTGATGCCTGGGTCACAAATCACACGAACAGTAGGTCACAATTCGCGCTGCACAGGAGAACACATATCTGCAGGTGCATCAGTATAGCACACATGTCTTTATTACGTCCGGTTCAGTTATGGAGTGGTCACTAACTACAGATTGTAGTGATCACATTCTAGCCGAGTCACACATCAAATTAACAGCTTATTGCATCGTGTTTTCTGGTGTATACATGGTTTCTAAATTGTTTATTGTACTTTCATCTCTATAGCATATGGACGTGTGCTTCTATTATATACGTCAACTGGCAAGAAGTGCGAGAGATTTCAAGTTTGTAGCTACCACAACGGACTCATTGTTCCAGGCCAACCTAAAGCACATGTATCCTAGTTTCAAGGATGATGCAAATGTTCTTGTCACAGATGATAGACTGATTAACGATATTACCAGTGGGCGAATTCCATTGAGCACTCCATGGGTTGAAGTTGACCTTGTGTTTATCCCACTTCTGCCTACCAACAAAGCACATTGGATGCTTGGAGTGTTGGACATAAAGGCACATACGTTGCATTTATTGAATTCGTCCAGGAAGACATATAATGATATCAAAGTCCATACTGGAATTGAACCCTTTGTTAGCATGCTTCCGCATCTTATGAAATCTGTTGGAATATGGAAAAAAGATTCCATGGAGTTGAATGTGGATTTTGATTTCTCTCTTCCCTAACAAAAAAATGGGCAAGTTTTTTTCCCTCCACTAACAGTTAAACATATTATAACTTGCTGGATTTCATAGCTAATATTCTGTTTTTTGTGTTCCTAGACATGATTGTGGCATTTACGTGGTCAAGTACATAGAGTACATGCTACATGACGATATATGATTCATGCTAATGAAGTTTGATGCGGGGAGAGCTCGGTTGGATGTAGCTTCACTGTTGTTCAAACATCGTGAAATCGGGAAGACTAGAAAACCGGTGCAGCCTACTGGTGGGGAAAGCATTGTTTTAGAGTGATAGTGCAATTTAGAAGTAACATGTTGTAATAGCAGGAAACATTGTCTCGTGTTTTGGAAATTCGTTTGTAATGACAACGCAGTTATTACTTTTGTCTGTTTATATCAAAAAGTTCATTAATGTTTGGGGACTTTACTACAAGTTTCACTATATATCATATTTTGCTATATTGACACTGTATCGAGGACAAAGTCTCAAAATTTAATGGTTACATGCAGTTTTTCGGATTATCACATGTCACCAGTTTCTAGGATTATCTGCAGTTCCAATGTCACTGGTTTGTGTAATTTGGTCACAGGTCAATTCCCATTGTCACAGGTCACTGCACCCTGGTCACAGGTCACAGTATATTGGTCACAGGTCATGAAGAATTATTAAAAGTCAATCCAATCTGGTCACAGGTCATTGAAGATTTGTTACAGATCATTTCATACATTTGTCACAGCTGAACCACTTCCATTTTGCAGAGTCTTTGCAATATGTCACTGGTCATCTTTTGTTGGTCACAATAAATGGTCACAGATCTCAGCATATTGGTCACAGCTCATTGACATCTAGTCACAGATGATTTCATATATTCACAGTTGATTACACAGGGGTCACAGGTCACTGAATTCTGGTCACAGATCATTTATATTGGTCACAAGTCACTGCATTCTGGTCACAGGTCATTAATAATGATCATAGTTAACGCATACTAGTCACATGTTATTGTAGAATGATCACAGATCATTAATTTGTGTCATCCAATGTTTTGCATCCTACGTTTACAAAAAATCAATGAATGAAAAAAACAATGGAATTATAAAATTTTTATCAATGTGCATTTCCAGTCTTCATCCTCTTCCTCTCTTTATTCTTGTTGCTTTGACTCAACGGAACTAATCTGCTACATGTTCTACGATTGTGACCACTTTCACCACACCGACCACATTTGACGGTTATGTTTTCCTCGTACGCTGCTCTGAATCTCTTCTCAGTAGGCCTTCCACAACTTCGCTTTTGATTAGGTGCAATTACAACTATGTCATGGACATCATTTGGCACTGTCCATTCAGCTGGATTTCCTACCGGAAAAATGATTTCTTGGTATGTATTTTCGAACGCTTCACTTGTGTAGTAGTAGGAGCAGTATTCATATGGATCCATCTTCATACTCGCAAACATAGCCAAAGCATGTGGACAAGGTAGTTGATCAACTTGAAGCATCCTACATGTGCATGTCCGATTTTCTATATCAACAACGAAGGAGAAACTTTCACCGCTAACTGAGAACATTGCCTGATTAATAGGTGAAACCTACAGATATAGACTCAAGTTATAGGCATAACAAGTCACGTAATTAAAAAGTAGGACACAGATGAAATTGCATGTCATGTAGTTCTATATAATATTGTACAAATATTACTGAAACACAACGGTACATATCACAGCAGAAGTCACAGCACATGTCACAGATCAGATCCGGTAAGTCACAGATTATAGATTAGGTCACAGTAATCAAGCTTACCCTCAAGTTTCTCATATCTGTACTCATTTCCCTCATCTTCTTCTCATACTTGATTGACAAGGTTGTAAAAGTGCCTTGGGCATCCTCCTTGTGTCTACAGAACCAAGATTGTAGAATTTGTCTCAATGACTCCAACAAAGCTAGAATAGGGTAGTCCTTGGCAGACTTTGTGACCGCATTAACCGACTCCACAATATTCGATGTCATTGTAGAATACCGGTTTGAAGGCATGTGGAAACGTGACCATATCTCAGGTCCAACTTCGTCCTACAAAACAAAACCATGGAAATGTGTATCATATAGCGTACAGTACCATGTTAAACGTATTTATGTGAATATCATCATAGGACAACATATAGTATGGTACCAGATAACCCCTTATCTTCTGATTAATCGAGCCGAGTTGTTGCATGTAATATTCATATTCCAATAGTGTGTAGGCACGAACAGCTGCATTGAATGCTCGTGTTATGTTTTGTCCTGATCTCCCGTACCGTGATTTTAGATTTTGTAGTAGATGGTAAGAACATATCCCGTGACATGCTCCCGGATACACGTTTTCAATCACCTTTTTGATGCTGTTGTGACGATCCGACACGAAGCACAAACTGTCTCTATCCCCATATGCTTTTCTCAAATGTCTAAAAAACCATTTCTAGGAGCTGTCATTCTCGTTATCCCCAATCCCGAAAGCAAGTACATAAATGCTGTTATTTGCATCTTGTGTACATGCCGTGAATAAGGTGCCACCATAGTGTCCATTTAGATAGGTGCCATCAACCACAACAACTGGCCTACAATGTTTCCATCCCCGTATAGATGCACCTAGTGCCATGAAGCAATATTTAAACCTATTGTGACCATCAATTTCTAGACATGTGACTGATCCAGGATTTGTTTGTTGTAGCACAAAAAAAAAAGGCTGGTATCTTATTGAATGAATCAGTTGGATCACCCCTAAGCACTTTCAGAGTTTCCTCTCGAGATCGCCAAGCTTGGACATAATTCAAAGATACTCCGTATGTATGCAGCATGTCGTTGCGTATATCATTCGGTGTGTATATTGTGCGCGATGATGTGTACTTATACTTAATGCAAGTTGACACAACCGTCTTTGTTACTTGCCTATGAGTACTGAGTACGATGTTTGAAGCACATATGTGACCTTCTGCAATGTGTCTGATTTTAAACATATCTGTTTTGGCTAGCTTCGATGCTCTACATATCCAATTACACTCATCACGTGAACATTTTACAAGATAGTCTTTCTTATCGGACCGAACAATCACGTACTCAAACATGTTCTGGATTACATAAAACGACAAGCTCAATTTCATTATCTCCTTGTTACGGAAGACTCTTCCTTCCTCTACCTCCCTAGCATCTGCCACCGCCACAACTGTGACCTCATGCTCAAGATTGTCACTAGATGGATCCATTATTGCTCCACATATGTCTGATGACATATCTGTTAATGAAAACCCGTGTTCGTTCGATTGAACATCAACTGATAGTGCAATAGGCTATTTTTCAATATCCGCAGTTGTCACCTCGATGTGAATTGGATATTTCGTAGGGTCACGACTCATATCCTTTAAAACCATGTAAGACAAGACGTTCTTATCACTTTTGATTGCTACTAGAGGCAAATCACTGTTCAAGACATACTTCATTGTCACAGCAACTTTTGCAGGGTCAAAGCTAAACTCTTTCATAACTGCGTCGACAAGCCTCAAATACCCGCAACTACGATCAATTAAAACTAGTGACACTTGTGATCCATTCAACAGACACACGTGAATTAATCCCATTTTCTGCAAAATTAGCAAATACATGATCAGCCTAACATCCAAATATATGTTAAATCTAATTGCAAATGGGTCAAAATTAAATTAATGGTTAAATGTCACAATAAACATATATCGAATCTCAAGTATCATTGTCACGTATTGAAAACATGCAGGTCACATAGTTTTATTTCCCAGATTTTTTTTACGAGAGGTCACAGATCATTGCAAGGTCACATGTGACATTTAAGTCTTTGTATATTGGTCACAGTTAATTGCATGTCGGTCACAATTCTGTTAAATGATCACAGGTCAAAGCAAACGCATGTGGTATCTTGAATGTCATGGTCACACATTGAATACATGCAGGTCACATGTATTCAATGTGTTACAATTACATGCAATAATCGGTCACAGTAACTAAGTATAGGTCTGTCGCATATGATTGGATTCGAACAAGAGCATCATTATCATAATACACAGATTCAAACATTTCACACATTTCGAGACACAAACACCCATACATACTGAATGCATGACGTTATATCTTGCATCCAGGGTCACATGTTTTCCATAACGGTCACAACAGTTTCGAACGGCAATGTCCGTTATTCATGATCAGAGTTCTGTCAAAAGTCATATTTCTGATCAATCGAAGCTTGTCTAGCATGAAAAAACGACAAATTATAATGAATAAATCGCAATTACACACCTGATCAATTTAATTACACGCCTGAATAATGTTTTCAGTGACTGTTCGAGCCGATCTCATACGACCCGCGACTGCAATTTGTGACCAGAATTAGGTTTCACCGTCAATTCCGCAAGAGCCGGTCGTAATTGGATGTATTTTCAGATCTTCTGGCTATTGAAATCAGATTGAAAGATGAATTAATCTTTTTTAGGAGAATCCTGATATTACGGCTCTTTGCTCGGGATTGTTTTCCATATCAAATTATATTAATATTTGTATTTATTTTTAGGCTAATTTCTGATTTTTGAAATATGATACTTATTTTCTTATTTTTGAAATGCCCTATACTTAATCTCCTGTATGTGAAATTTTCCCATATTTTAAACAGAGTTTGGTGTAGAGAGTAAAGGTCCTTCAATGTTCATATTGATCAAGTATTTAAATGTGAGAAAATTTGAATGCTTAATTAAATATAGTGTCATAGTGTGAAAAATGTGCACATTGTGTACAATACATACACTTGTAAATCATTGATCTATACATTATTCCTAAATTATCATATTTTTCACTCTTAATCTCAACTTTTCCTGTGCCCATTTTTTCTACCCTTCAAAAACAATGCAATACACTGAGAAGTGAAACAGGGTTTGGTGAAAATTATTATTCACTTTTGTATATAATGGAACAGAAGAGTGAATGAATTTGAGGACAAAATATAAAGGGAATAATGGGATTACTACGTGTACAGCAAACGACGTAAGAATGGTAATTGAAATTACTTATTGATGGAGGATTACTATTTACTTTTCTAGGGCTCAAAATGAAGGGAAAAAATGAGAAAAAACATGGAGAGGAAATATGAAAGGTTGAAACTAAGCTATGGGAAAAAGTGTACAAAAACAAACAAGAGTGAGAAGAAAAGAGATGAATAATTACAATTTTCTTCCTATTTGTTGATGAAGTTATTATTGTTTTTTGGGTAATTGGTACAAAATGTCCCTACCTTTTATGATATTTGTGAAAAACGTCCCTACCTTTCGTTTTTTGTCGCATTTCATCCCTACCTTTACATTTTCTTGTGCAAAACATCGTTTTCATCATTTTTCTCAATAAAAAGCTATAAAATGACTAATATACCCTTATTTTTAATTAAAAAAATAAAAAACTAAATGCAATCATAGTTCCAAATAAAAAAAAATAAAAAAATTCTCCACCTCCACCTCTTCTTTTGAACTTTTTAAAAAATTGGAATCATGATTGCAATTAGTTCTTTATTTTTTTTTATTTAAATAGAGGGTATATTAGTCATTTTATAACTTTTTATTGAGAAAAATGATGAAAATGATGTTTTTCACAAGAAAATGTAAAGGTAGGGATGAAATGCGTCAAAAAATGAAAGGTAGGGATGTTTTCCACAAAAATCATGAAAGGTAGGGATGTTTTGAGCTAATCACCCTTGTTTTTTTGAGTCTTTTAGACGAAAAGTATTTTGGGTGTATTTTGAAGGTTCGAGTGTGTGGGAGTAATATTGTGTAATTGTTACAATTTTCTTAGTAGAATATTAATCGTTTTAGTTTTTCTTCAATTGTGGTGTTTGGCACGTAAAATATTTTATCCTACTTATTGTCATTATTTATCTATTTTTATTTCTTTACTCTATGTTCTTCTTGCTATTCTTTAAAGAAGGATTTTCCGAGTGAATCTTGGAATAAATTCAATCTCTCAACATACATAAGTGATAGTACTCTTTAATGTAAAAGGGAGACCACGAATACCTTGGTCCTACCATTTTCCTAATTATAAAGTGAGATGATAATTTACTGTCAACAAAGTGAGGATTGGATTGCTGAAGAGGAAAGCACTAAAGCAAATGGGAATTGGATAATATTTGTAAATGGGAGGGAGTGTGGATTCCACACGAATGCCACCAACTTTTACATTATCTTATTTTAGATTTCAAATATAAATTAGTTGGGTTCCTTTATTCTACTTTTATTCCAACTTTCCATTTAAAAATGAAATGAAATTGATGCTTTGGGCCTCCCACTTAAGCAAAATTATCATTATCTTCACGTCTTCTTTTCATAAAAATAAAATAAACTAAAATAAGCAAAATTATCATTATGTTCACGTCTTATTCTAGTCGGGGTTTAATGTGCATTGCAAGTTATTCTAAAATACTTTATAAGTACTGCAAAAGTAATATTTTATATCAATTTGTTGAGAAGATTTGATGAGTTTCAAGTAAACTAAAGAAAAAAAAATTTAGAACAAAAATTTAAGATAAGAAAATTGCACTATCAAAACTCAACTTCCATGATATAATTTTTTTGTGATGATGAAATAGTACAAATGAGCAACATTTTTATACTACATCTGGTACATGAAAATTAAATGGTAATACATAAATTTAAATACCCATTAAAATTTCTAGATACATAAATAAAAATAAATTCATTTATAATAACTCTAGATTCATGTAGACTAAGATTCATCAAGTCAAGATTAATCAAGTCTAGATTAATGTGAATGTTAATATTTTTGAGAATTAATAACACAAAACTTATACATGGCAATGATTTTATAGTATTTATTATATATTAAAAACGAAAAGCAAGATATTACTGAAATAATTAAATTGTAGTCGGTTAAAAAGTCCAAAAAATGATTCTTGCTTGATATACTATTAAATATATTATACATTATAGATATATAGTCATATGGACTTGTTTTAAAAGAAACAGAATATCAAGATGAAATAGAATTATTTTTATTTTGGTTTCCTGTTAAAATAACTTTCTTCTTATTTAAAAGCTTAACAAAATGTGCGTGTGTGTGTATATATATATTCTGGTTGATTTATTGAGCCAACTTGACTCCTGATGAGTTGATTCAAAATCTGTTCGTGCATTTGTTTAACTTCTTATATAAACTGGTATATAAATTCATAGTATTTCTCATGTTCACTCGGTTCACAAGCTACTTCACAGTTAAGAATTGAAAAAATAAGGAAGGAGAATTATCATCTTTAAATAATAGAGCATATTCAAATAAATTTGACTAAAGAAATTTAGATACGTAAAAAAAAAAAAAAAATATTCAAGAAAAAACAAAAGTAAACAATAGAAATGGTTCCATAAGATCCTATAGGATCTTTCCTCTAAAGTCATGTCAAAACCAAATTTTATCATCTTTTGTAAACTATTTAAAGTGAGAAAGAAGAAAACGAAAAACACTTACGAAGACAGACAATGGAGTGCTGCTATCGCTATCCAGTAGTTGGAAAATTGTATGAATCCGAATAATGAGTTGCCAATGGGACACTACATTGTGAACCTAAAATAATGGAATCATATATCAAGACAAATAAATACAAAGCACATATCTTGTCTTGTCTTCCTTTTCCCTACCCCAAAATGAATAGTTAGAATAATTGATTATAGGAAAGGGAAGTGCTACATATACATAATTGTTTACAAAATGGTGTCCATAATTACACGTGACATTAGATCCAACCTTTAATTCAAATCTCATACTTGCACATCAACAATCGGATGATTGACACATTATATTATGGACATCATTATATACAATAATTATGTACAAGTAGAATTTTCCTATAGGAAAAGAGAATATGTTGGCATTTTTGTGTGTATGTGTGTGTGTATTTATATAATATTTTATCAATTTTAAAATTTAAATTTTTTATTATTATGTTAAGTTAAAAGACACAATATTTATGGAAAAAGAGCAGAACAAAATTTATATTACGTTAATATTCTTAATTTGATATATTATTGAAAAAATTTATTTATTTTTCTACTTTTAAACTATCTTGCTTTCGAAAAGAATAAATTTAGTCCATTTATTTTATCAGTCTAATCCCAAATGCCCAATTAACTTCATTATCCAATTATCAACCCATTAAGATAATAAATAGCCTAAAATTCAAATGATTAAAGTGAAAAGTAAAAAAACTAACCAC